ATTTTCCTTTTTATACATATCACTGAGGGAAGTGCTTTTGTGGATCCGTTGGAAATTCGCAAAACTCGCATCACTAGCAGAATTAAAGATAAGTACCAGTACTTCAAACTTGTGAAATAGGAGGACAAGTTCCAATACATTTGGACCACTAATGACGCACTTTGTTCCTTGGAAAATGGAAAATTACAAATCCATTTGTGAAAACTGTTATGGTTCAGAAGTTGTTTTCACACATCTGTTTGTCAACTTGTCAAAGTCCTGGGCATGACGTTAAAACTGCATCCGGTTGTGGAGTTTTTGTACTTGGGAGAATGAGGTTACCCTTTGCCACAACTACCTCCAGGTCACCTTTGCGCAAGGTGTAGTACCTGTAAGCCTTGGGTGCCAACTTCCCACATAATAAGTTTGGTTGACGTCAGTAAGGGCATACGGTCATACAAACCTTGCACCAACTCAACCTCACATGTGAGGTATTACCTGATAAAGGCAACGTTTACGTTTATTTAAATATGTATATATTTGTCCTTGGTAAAATTTTAAACTACATCCGGTTGTGGAGTTTTTGGACTTGGGAGAATGAGGTTACCCTTTGCCACAACTACCCCCAGGTCACCCTTGGGCAAGGTGTATTACCTGTAAGCCTTGGGTGCCAACGTCCCACATAACAAGTTTGGTTGACGTCAGTAAAAGCATACGGTCGTAAAATTCCTGCACAAACAGATCCGCATAGGTGGACAATATTTCATGTAAATATGTATATATATGTTTCCGTTTTCCTTAGCATTTGGCAGGAGGGGATCGCAACGTCTTGCAGTGAAAACCAGTGTGACTGGCCTGCCTGTTATCAGTCACATCCGTTAATGTAATTTCGTTTTACTTATCCGTAAATCAAAAATCATTATATCTTGAAATCTTCCTCTGTGCAAACTGTCTGTCTACTTATTTACTTACTTATTATGACGTCTTTACCGTGGCAGAGATATTATGCCATATCTCAAATTGTAGGTTTGTGACATAGGTTAAAAACAATTATATATTGTTGATGATGGGCCACTTTTGTTGTCCTGGATTATTTTTTTCCAAAAAAAATCATAAAAAGCAAATTGTGTTTATGGAATTGTTATAACAAAATTTAAAATATAATTTAATATTTTATATTACAATTTTCTCAAAATACATCACTAATGTTATTTATGTTGCCATGAGACAATAGCTTCATGATTTAACATAATAAACCAATGAACATTGTCATGAAATATATGACCAATTTTCACAAAATCAAGTTTTAGAAATTAGAATAAGTGACTCAGATTTAAGTTGTTGTTGGTGTTGTTAAACATATTAACCAATTAAAAGATTGTTACCACTTGTCGCATTTCATAACGAATTACGTGCTTTGTTATTTCCGTAGAATGAGCATACAATAACACAGCTCATCAATCTGAGATTTGTTGGTTTATGTCAAGATCATTGCTGCTAAAAATGCACATTGTCTTCTATACAAAAGGAGTTAGGTTACGAGGATGCAAAAACACTCGTTATCGTGCTCCATTATAAGTAATGACTATTTTCCAAGCGTCGGCCAGTCATAAGTCTCCAGGGCGAACCAGACCTCGCCCCCAAAGTAGCCGTTATGTAATACTGTAAAATACTTCATTTTAGCTGGAATTCATTTTCGCTGAAAACACTTATTGGGTGTTTTGTATGGAATTTATTTTCACTGATATCTGACAAGTTGAATGTAAAATTTGGGAAAAGGGGTATATTCACTTGATTTTATTTTCACTGAATCATTCCTTCAGTGAAAATAGCGAAAATTAATTCCAAGTAAAAATAAAGTACGATACAGTACGATAATTACCAGTTACGCAATTGAATGAGCTATGCACCACACCCTGCTGAGGATTGACAGTTTTCGCAGTTAGAAAACAATTGAGTGTCGACATAACCACTGTGAATTGTGAACTTAAATTAGTTGTGAATAAAATAGTTTAAGTGTGTGAATGTTCACTTGTGAAATACAGATGTTCTAATTTTATCGATTTACCAGTTCACCGTGTAGGACTTTGCTTCACAATAAACCTATTGATTTTGATATCGATTGATGTCACGTTCTATGTTCTACAAACGAGATATAGATGAAACACTGTTATTTTGAAAATAATTATTCTTACAATAACACAAATTTATGTTACATATTGATTTTTATTTTACTCAATACAGCTAAGTGAGTACATATTTTCTTTTCTATCTTGTGAGCTTAATCAATAATGTGAAATTGTTTGTTGTCGTGAATTCGGTTTAAAACGTTGGGTAGAAAGTATTGCTATTATATCACTTTTGGTCGGCTTTTAACATTTAAACACCGGCCAAGTGATTGAAAGTGCGAAAAGCCAGTCAACGACTGCGTTGAAGCTGATAAGTTGTTAATTCATGAGAGAGAGGTTACTCGCTATATTTCTCCACTGCAAACTTCAAATCAGATGGCCTGAAAGTTTTAGTGTACTGTTGAGTGAGTGGAGTTATTGCAAGTAATAATGTCGTAAAGCAGGCGTTGCTCTGACTTCTGAGGGGATGGTGGAAATTAAAATCTAAATGGACTTGAAAAATAAAGTAGCCGGAGTATAAGTAGCTAGCACCAATGGACATGGGGGGTACACCCTCACAACACCCATCTGTCTCGTGGTGTTTCCAATACTTAACAAACTTTGCAAACACCACCAGTAAATGGATTACATTGTTTAAGTATGTGCAACACTACTGTAGTGTAATACCTTATTTATATATAATTTTTCAAAATATTAATGTGTGATTTGAACATGTTAGAAATCCCACACAATCCTAGCGTATGCCTTTCTGTGAGTGTATATTTATTTGAACACGTACATCAGAGCATAGACATAAGTGGCGAACATGTATTCGATAAGAAGTCTATTTTGCATTTTTGGGGTGCATGGGAACTGTTCCATTCAAGCAGCTTCAAAATTAACTTATATCTTCTGTTCGTTTGTGACAAATTGTACTGAATAGCTGAATAATGAGACAGATACATTGCGGATTGCCAGTGGAGATGCAGCAAAAGAAAAACTAATCAACCAACTAATAGGCAAATGACAATATCTTCGTTTCTAGTTATAAATTGTAATTTGCCAACAATGTGTGTGTTTGTCAGTCGATCGCTCGTGTATTTAACACGACCATTTGGTCAATATTGTATAAACGGTCGAATGACATGGCTCAATATTTCACTTTAAAGTAATGTCAGAAAAGTTTAACATTTGCACGTCGAAAATACAAGATGACTACAGTATGCCGTCATGATTAAAATTTGTACTAATTATTAATATAGAAATTAAATTAATTTATTGCAGGGATATTTGAACACAAGCTTATTTTAAGTTGATAGGCAGTGAGAGAATTGTGGATATTAATTCTCCCAAACTTTTTTTTAAAACGTCTTTGTCAGTTTGTTTCCAGTTATTGATCACACATCTCAATGGCTAAGAGTAGATCAATCAATTAAGGTATCGATCTTTCTTACATCTATCGATTGTGACAACTAATCATTTTTTTACATCTGGAAATAGCACATATCAATTACAGACTATCACGTGCACTGACGTCATTTAGTATTACTATATTATCACTATACGTGGGACGTTTTGTCAGATTAGCAGTACAATTCATGTGCGCATACTACATGCGACGAGAGGGGAAACAGGTGAGAGTTTTAGCAGTATGTTATTAGTTCATTATAATAATCAACTTTAAACGTTTATAAATTTCATCTAACTACTTTTATTTAACTAATCGTCAACGTAAATGTTTGTGAAATATGATGTTAACAAGTGAATTCTAGATGTATCAACGCTGTAAATTACAGTGTTTAAAATGTAATTTCTGCAACCAACAAGCATGGCGTTATTCGTTAAAATAATGTACTGAACGAAGCTGTGAACCGAGGTATTTGGTACCACCCCGCTGTCGTCTTCACTTGTTAATAAGCAGAATAATACTGCCGGTCTATGTGATAGCACTGTTATATACATCTGATATATACGTGGTGTCTTTCTATCTACATTTAGTTGGTACATATGGCCAAACCATAAAGGGAAATGGCAAAGGTGAAATACATGTAGTTTATTAATAATAAGAATTCCACAAACAGAAGGTCGATATTCAGCATACAGCGTGACAATTATACAGGATTCCAGAGATTTTCATTTTAAAATGAGTAGCGAAAAGTAGTTAGGCAGTGTATATATATATTGAGGTATACACACATACTATTATTCGATCAGTTATTCGATCTAATACAAACCAAATACAAACGCTAAACATAGGTATGCCAGATATATATTTCAAATTTCGCATTGGGTTTGTTTTTAATCCGTGACTACAAAATGTATTGATGACTTCTTAGCCAATCTTAATTAGGAATTGTGTGGTGGGGTATTATAATGTGTACATAATTATATGCACGTTAATAGATCAGTAATGTTTGCGTCAACTTATTGAAGTGCTATGTAGATAGAACGTCGACGAAATGGTTCTCTGGAGTCAAATAACGATTAACGATTGTATGAAATTAGTTGACGATTATTGTTAAAAAGTTAAATGTTCTCTTTCTTTTAAAGGATGTCGTATAAGGCAGTTTTCATACTTGCCATCATTGTTGCCACAGGCTGTACTGAAAATGGTAAGCCTTTTCATTATCACGTTTTCACTCATAAGTTCGAATCTGTGAAGTTGTTTCTGCTTGAATAATGCAACTACTGCCAAACTCATATTCATGATTATGCTCATATATTTGAACGTGTCGATAATCGGTATATAGAAGTACTTCTCAATACTTGACGTGATCATTTACATTCAGATATTCAATTGAAGAAATGGAGGATACTCCATCAAATCCCTGAACTAAATCAGTTGTAAGTTTCGAAAAAGATTTCACAGTGCATATACCTGCGCACACGTTCAGTACAGTGCTATTGAAACTAACTTCTCAATTTGTCAATTACATTGATTCCATATTTGTATCATAGACTATTAAACCTGATGGCAATTGTATTTCTTAGTTTTTTATAGGTATCTTGGCTGTTACAAAAACAGTGACAGTGATCCAGCCATGGGTACACCAATAACAGACGATCTGATGACAAACGAGTTCTGCGCAGACTACTGTTACGGAATAGGTCAAATATTTGCGGCGAATGAAGAAGGAGATAGGTGTTTCTGTGGTATAAATTATATGAAGCATGGTCCAAGATCTGACGATGAGTGTGACACAGGCTGTCCGGGGAACAGTAGTCAAACTTGTGGTGGAGTTCATCGAATGTCTGTCTACGAAAAAGGTATTTATTCATGAGTTATCCATTTTTGTCTACAGATATTAGATATAGAATATAGAATATTTTAAAACTGGAAGGTTAAACGCTTTGAAAATGAAAAATAGAATTGCATTTTGGGGGAATCGTTAACAATTACATATTTATTTCTTGAAGAGGTGCCTTGAGGTAGCAGGATAGTTTATTGGCATGACAAATGTAAACATCTATAATCGGAATAAAATTTACAAGAAACTATACAATCTATATATGTTTATAAAGCTCTTAACTTGTACTTTTATATTATTAATATTAATAGTATTAGGGTAGACAGAGATTCATTAACAATCGTTCCCTGTATTTCGTTTGTATTCTTTATAATTTAAGAAACATCAACGACGCGGTGACGTGGCTTTTAAATAGACGTCAGTGCGCTGTATCTTCCAAGGAGCCTCGCCAAATTTGTATGTCATACGTTCCTCCCAAGATTATGAATTTTGATATGTTTATTTATACTAAAATAACGCGAGATCTCGCGTAATTCCTGAAAGACTCGGATCGAACGTCTGCCAGAAAATTTAATGATTTAATTATGAACGTCAATTTCGCATTATAGTGTCCTGAAGGGGTGCAGGCCATTTATAACTGAAAACTGGCAAATTTATAGAAATTATTATACGTTGACAAAACTAAATGCAAAAAAATTGTCCCAAATACGTGATGGTTTAATTATTCTTATTAACATCTCACGCACTAATCTAGACACTACTTTACTTTACAATGACGCCTATATAAATGACAGTGTTCTTGTTGTACCCGAATAAATATAAATAGATTACGAAAGTCTCAAATTTCATTTCAAAGATTTTAATATGTAAGGTTTTGAATTACTTGAAGAAATATTTGCCTTGTGTCTCGCATACCTATACACACCCTGTGCCCGAATATTTGTATGTTCAGTGTATGTTCATGAAATTGCTAAATTTCGAAATGCTTTACAAGACTCTCTTCACAACAATCTTTTAATTTGAACAATTTGTAATATTTATTTAATCTGACTTGAATATTGTATACATTTTTCAATTGTTTTGCTAGTTGTCCCATCTGCCTATCCAAATGCTGCAATGGTGGGAGGTCCCCGAGGTGTTGAAACTAAATTTCAAATTGCGAATTCGTGGATTACATCTGATGTGAGCCCAGAAACGACAAAATATGCCAGAATACTGGAAGCAGGGTCGTCAGGGTGGTCTCCAGGCAGTGGGCAAACTGGTAATTGGTTGCAGATAAACATGCATAGTGTTTATTTGGCTGCGGGGGTGGTGACGCAGGGTGATGCGACAAAAAATAAATGGGTGACGTCATTCATGGTAATATACAGTGTCGATGGAGTCGTATGGAACAGCGCGATCTCTATGAATGAAACCACGGTACGTTTACGCCTAAAGCGTATCAGTTATTATGTAGGAATACTTATTTAGCAAAACGAAGAAAAAATGGAATGTTTGTACAAGTACAACATGTGTGCATGAATGAATCATTAGTTTAATTTAATTTTGACTGATATTGGACTCGATAGATGTTAGATACATACTTATAGTAGTGTCCGGTACATGGTTGTCACGTGACTCCGATCTGATGGAAATGCGATAGAAGTTTACATCTAACATAATTACAACTATATCTGACATATGCAAATCGCGTTCAAGCAACTATCCCCTGACGGGTTTTGCCAACCAATTAGAACGCGTCTTACCAGAAAGCGGGTTATGATTGGATTGGGTTATGATTGGATGCAGTTCTTGCGAGATCTGAATACGATTTGCATAGGTGGATGATCAAATGAATTTAGACATGATGTTCACCGGCGAAATCGACTGGAGCCTCGGCTTACATCGTAATCAGATTAAGTTAACCTATAGTAGTGTTTTGAATTCAGCAAGTATCAATGATATTTCTATTTACCAACTGTATTTAAATGTTTGAATTTGTTTATCAACTATTCATAATCACGTCGATGAACTTTGTCAATGAGAGATTGTAATTTTTTAAATATTCTTTTCATAGATCTTCAATGGTCACAACCAACTGAACAAAGACACTCCCATAATTAATCAATTCTACAACATGGTCAAAGCCAAGTACATCCGGTTTGTTACAGTGACTTGTGAATGGGCATGTAATTTGCGCGTCGAGGTACTGGTTAATGGTAAGTATGTAATACATAAAACAAGCAAACTTGAGTTTTAATATTTCAGATTGAGATATTGTAACTACGAGCTTTGTAAAATTAACCAAAGTATATATTCAAATTAATTGTATTTGTCTTTACCCTTTACCCCTGCATTCGTTCAAATAAAGTTGGTAAGATTTTACGTCATTGTTCACACAATGCTACAGGGAAAGTAAAATGAAATAATTCGATGTACAAATTCTTATCAATTATAAAAGCCAAGACAACGTGTAATTCCCGGTGAAATATGATATAGATACCTTGGTGATGACCAAAACCCTGACACTTATACAGCGAATATATGGGAATAGATTCATTCTTGTGTGCATAATTTTGTGAATAAAGTACTACTACACATATAGACTGGCGAAGTCGGGACTTCTTTTTTGTTTTACAAAAAGAAATAATTCATTGTTCTTTTAGTCATTTTAGCGTGATCGTGAAAACTAACAGACCGCTAAAGAAATCCTTTTGCAGTCACGTTAGTTTTCGCGATCACGTTAAAAAGGCCAAATTGAGAATTAGATATATATATTTTTTTTTTTTTTTTTTTTGATAAATATTTTTTATTACCCATAACAAAAAAAATTACAGGACTTTAATAAATACAGTAAATACAGTAATAAACAAAACAAATAGGAAAACAAAACAAAACCAACAAATAATGAAGACAGATTACCATGTAACTCCAATTGTATTGAAAAAAATTGTGGATTGAAAATTGAAAGATGCACAAACCAAAAATTACCCCACTTCACCTGAAACAATTCGATAGTGCTATTTTTACTACATATACAATATTCCATTTCTTTTGTTTCCATTACTTTTTTTTCTACCAGACGAAATGAAAGTGAAGTGCCATTTAATTTACAGGAATAAATAATTTGTTTAGTTATAAAAATGATATGGTTGATGAAC